TCTGCCCTGGAGATCCCCTCCTGGGAGCTGATATTCAAATACCCCCATGCAATCCCTGTTTTACTGCAGACTTCCCTGTGCCAACATTTCCTGTCCCAGAGCAGGTCATACCTAGAAAGCCCAAACCTCAGTCAGCAGGACAAAACACACCCATTTCCTTTATGCACCTTGAGCATCACCTTCACATCTGACAAATTCTGTTCCAGCAAGGATTCACACATGGCTTTGGAACCCCGATGCCTCGATGGAGCTGGGAGAGCCCAGCCTGTGTGGCACAGGTTGTCCCAGTTGTGTGGTGATGCCCATCAGCATCCCACGTGAGCCTGACAAGTGTGGACACTGCCACCGCTCCCAGTTAGCTGGTGAAATCCTCTTATCTCCTCCCTGGCTACAGGACAGAGGCAGCACTTTAACCCACAGACAGGAGAGGAGCTTCTTGCTTGATCACACGTGAAGCCAAGGAGGGAGAGCCCAGGCAGCGCTTCCCTGAGACAGAGCAAACAGGCAGAGGGAAGGGGCAGTGCCAACTGCAAAAACCACCAACAGGAGTAAGAAGAGTCCTGGTTTCTTGCTTGTAATTCCTTCTTTGGAGGCCATTCCCCTTCCGTCAGCACTCCTTGAGCCTTTAGATCCACAGATACAAGTTGGGCTAAATCTGTAAGAAGAGTAATCACCTTTATTTCATGGGCTGACCCAACTGGGAAACCCAAACGACCATTTGGAGAGAGGTGTCAAATCCATGTGAAACTCTTCAAGAAGGGGTTTATACGGGCACAGGAACTGGCCCTGGCTCTTTTCTGCACGTAAAAACTTCATTGTCGAGTTGTTTGGACAAATGGGAGAGGGGGGTAAATCCTCAGCTGCTGCCAAAGCACGATGTCTCCCTGGGAGCACGGCAGCCAGGCCAGTTTACACCAGCATCAGGAACTGGATCACGGTGTATTTGCTCTCTAGGGGGACACGAATTTAGCCAAGAGAAAAACGTGGGTTTGTGTGCAAAACATAGCACATATACCTAATTGTTAATACCGTAGGCAGGTTTTCATTTTTAATCACAGCTTTCCAAGTCCTTAATAATTACAGTTTGACGTTCCCTGTAATACATTTCATTTTTGTTTGACACAGCTTGAAAAGTCACCAGAAATTCCCTCTCGCCGCTTTCCTTGTAGCACCGCGAGGGTACCCGAGCCTTGCGCGCACCAATGGAAGCAGAGCAGCTGAATCCATCCATCCCGGCTGGCAGCACCGCCCCGGTGGGTGACCCGGGGGCAGCGGTGCCGTGGGGAAGGGCCCCGCCCGCGCACACCGGGGATGACGCATCGGATGCTGCCGCGGCCCCGCTCCCGTGAATAATCCTCCCGCAGAAGGAGCCCCTCGGACGTCAGCGCTGGCTGCGATGAGTCAGAGATCAGAGAGCGAGGCTTTTCTGGAAAGAACACCCAGCGGGGGCACGGCCCTCACCAAACCAGCGCCTTTCACTCGCACACCAACGCGGCGGGCTCGGCAAGAGCCGTGTCGGCGGCAGCGCGTCCCCCGGCCGGGGGTCGCTCCGGGGTCTGCAGCCCTGCCGGGGCGCGGAGAGAGCTGACGGCACCAAAACGCGCCGGTGTTTCGGCTCACAAGCCACAAACCACTCAAAGGCACTGACCTGAGCTAATGAGACTCCGCGATACCAACGCAATATCGAACGAGGGCTCTTCCACCCACGCCTCCTGAAATTTCTCATGCATTTCAATCAGGCCAGAAAGCACAATTCCAGGTGCTGTTCTGCAAACAGCAAAGCCTGCAAGGTGCCAAGGGTTTCCCAAAAGGACTGGCTGCTGACAGCCTTCTCCTGCCAGGTGTGGGAAGAAATGGTGGTCCCAAGGGCACCTAACCCCAGAGGAGTATTTTAATCCCACAGAATGGTTTGGGTTAGTAGAGACCTTAAAGATCATCTCGTTCCACCCCCTGCCATGGGCAGGGACACCTTCCACTAGCCCAGGTTGCTCCAAGCCCCGTCCAACCTGGCCCTGGACACTTCCAGGGATGGGGCAGCCACAGCTTCTCCAGGCACCTGTGCCAGGGCCTCCCCATCCTCACGGGGAAGAATTGTTTTCAAACATCTAATCAAAACCTACTCCATCAGTTTGCAGCCACTGCCCCTTGTCCAGTCACAACAGGCTCTTGTAAAACATCCCTCTCCATCTTTCTTGCAGGCTCCCTTCAATCTTGGACCTGGCTACTTACTCAGGCAAGGGGAAGAGCTGAGTGGGAAGGATGTTTCCCATCACAGTCAAACCTATTTCTCGTATTCCTCTCCCACTCAAATAGGGAGGGAAAGACAAAGGCACAAACACCTTTAGCTTCTAGTAAAAATCAGAGCAGGCTGTCTGAAATAATTCATAAGGCAAAAAGCCCCTTCATTTCTGTCTTCCCTGTTTGAAATGTTCCAAATTATCAAATAAAGATCTACATCTAAAAGACCATGTCACCCCCTCCACCCTTCAGATTTGAGTCAGTTCGTTCTGAAAGCATTAAATGGGGCATCTGATCACTTCAAGGTTTTTCCCTGACCCTTTTCAACGTACAAACAGAGAGTTTGCTATAATTGGCCTTTTTCCCAGGGAGGTTTCGGTGAGTCAGCATTTTCTGACCAACATATTCCCATTTTCTTCAAATGCTCTCAAGCAACTGCAGTGAAAAGAGTCTGAGCTTTGAAAGGCTGGGGAGAACTTTGTGTGCTCATCTTCACACAGACCCACTCCTCTCAACAGACCCCTGTGCAGGACATCAGCGCTTCTTTTTTTGGTACACTGACTCCTGCTCCATTTATTCTAACAAACTGATTCCCTACCAGCACTACTGGGCATGAAACTTTTGTAACTGGGTCAAAAACATGGCTTAGTTGATGTGAAATGAGTTACACCAGTTTGCATCAACTGTGGGACTGGTCCATATCTATTTTTTTTCTTAAAACTGCTCACTGAATTCCTTGTTGCAATTCGGATTTCAGAAATGGAATATGGACATTCTGGAGTCCACCTCCCATTACAAAGTGCTGACGCTCCCTGGACTGTCACCCGTGCGTGACTTCTCTGCCCAGCCCTCTTTCATTGAGCTGCATCAACACGGCCAGAGGCACAAGGAACTGACCCACACCAACCCAGCCAGCCAAAGCAAAGAAAGCATCATCCTCTCCTCTTTCCCACTGGGCTTTCACTGGCTCATAACCAAGCCTAAGCTCTTCAGTCTTGGGTAGTAAGGCAGATCCCACTGCAATCAGCCAAACCTGTGCTGCAGGAATGGAGGCACAAGAAGCCTCATGCTGCAGGAGTGATGCCCTGGTGCTGTGCCCGCAGACCTGCACGGAGAGCTGGAAGCACCCCTGGACAGCCAGAGCACACAGACAGCTCACTGAGAGGGAGAGGGGTGGGCCAAGGGGGTGGAAGGAAATGGATGCTGATGTCTGTGGGCACAAGAGCATCTCTGGACAACAGGAACTGGCAATTATCTGATGGCAGAGTTGGAACTGCCTCCTGCCATCCTTCTGCAGCAGCACAGCTCTGCCACTGTCACACAGCAGTCCTGCTGCCACCGACACAACGTCCTTGCACCCTCACCAGAACGTGCTGTACCAAAGGGTGGGTCCCTCTGGCAAATGGTCCCACCAAGCCTGCACTCCTGTTCCTTCTGCCCAGCTGATGCACTGCATCAGTAAATCAGGGGCAGAGATAAAGAAGAACACACCTTAAAAACACTTCTTAGTCTCTCCACCCAAACTGATGGGTGACTGGCAAGGCTGGGATGTGCAGACATGCAGTAATACCCCCAGCAGGAGAACACTGCACTGCTTTCCTTCTCAGAGGGGCATAGGTGTAGGAGAGACAGAAGGCTGCAGCTGAAATGCAGGACCCTACCAAAGGAGTTGGTAGGGTCCTGCATTTACTACATGGAGATGTAGTAAAGGTGGAGGGAAGGAAAGGAAACAGGAGGAGAAAACTTCCATGTGCTTTTCTTACGTCAAAGTGTTCTCAGACTTGCTTAGCTCTAATCTTTAATTCATATTTTCATTACAGTCTCTTTGCTCTGTAAAGTCTGCATTTCGTGTATAAGGAGCAGCTCAAACATCAATTATTTGACAGAAGTCAACCCCTTGGTAAAGTCCTCTACTCTACATATATGTAGGCTCCAATAAAAGAAGCATTAAACATTCATCAAATTAGAAATACATGAAGACAGTCTGCTACTCTTCTTATACAGATATGCTTAGCAATCCCAACCTTCCAGAGCAGCAAAAGCAAACCCATCTCTAATTCTTTTAGAAACCCTGACCATGCAGAACACCCCAGCCTCCTGCAATGTGCCTCTGAGTAACCCAGGCATATCAGCAGGTCAGATCCTCAGCTGGAATAAATCAGAGTAAAACAGAGACATTACACCAAAGGACACAGACTCGGGATTCGGCTTTAGGCTTCTCTTGCAGCAAAATGGTTTACAGCAATGTAATTGGGTAATAATGTCATTTTTGGTCTTTTAAGTCACACCAAGAATCTGATCAGGCAACACCACACCTGAACAGCAACACACCACGCCTGCTTTCATTTCAATACTGCTTTGGCTGCTTGTGTTCTGCAAAGGGAACTTGGCCTCCCAATCTGAATCTAGGAACTTCCTCCCCACAAAAGAAATCCCAAACCTACCCCCCTACTCTCTATAACACCTACCTCCATACTATCATGATGATAGTGAATCTTGAACTACCACTGCTATAGGTTGGTGCACACAAATTTCAGCAACATTTTCCCAAGGGGAAACAATCACTGACGAGCAGAAGCTTCCTCAGAAATATTTCTGAGTTTAAAGAGCAATGCAGACCATGTAACGCATTTCCCACATCTCTGAGAGCTGTGTCCACTAAAAGACAGCTTTGGAGCCAGTCCCATCTGACAAATGGCTCCTCATAATCCTCCCCAGCCCTTCTCCTTAGGGTGCATTTTGAACTCTGCTGTGGTGGAAGCACGGTTAGGACTTGGGGTACAAATCAAGGATAGCAGCTTTCAGCTCCTGCCTGGCCTTTGGCTGTCAGGCAGAGCCTTTTCCTGCCGTGTTTAATTTGTGAATTATCCTTTTCTTGTTTGCTGGGCACAGGAAGAGACCACAAAGGCTCGGGCAGCATCAGGTGACCCGTGAGCGTGCGGGTGAACACGTCGGGTCGCAGGGGCTGCTGTCCCGCTGGCTCCCGCGGCAGCTCCCTTTGAATGGAGCTTTTCCCAGCAGCATCCCTGTCACTCTGGCACTGCACAGTCCAGCAGCTCCTGCTTTGTGTGAGCACTGAGCTGTGTGATAGAGTTAATCACATTAAGCGCTGCTCAGTTCATGGCTTTTTTTTGTTCTCTAAAGGCTTTTCCTCTCTCTTGCCTCTTTTAGTCTCACTTTCTTTGAAACTTCAGGAGGTGGCAGCTCCAACTCAGCCCTCCCTGATGCTATCCAGCACCGGGATGGCTAATTTTGGAAGGTTTAACCTCTGTGTACCTTTCCAAAGCTTTTCACTGTTATCAGATGCCTCTTCCAACAGCTGTGCCCACAGGGAGCAGGACAGTCTTGAGTCAGCAGGGCATTTCAGCATCTGGATAATCCAACTGCTGGAGATTCCCAAAAGCGATGGAGGGTCTGGCTCTTCACAGGTGCTTACGTGTCAAATTTCCACCAGCAAGTTTGGCACCTACACGCCTTTAACCACTGGACCCAAAGTGATGGGGATGAACGGGCTCCACTGAAAGGCAATTTCAGGGAAATGACTTCTCTCAAAGTGCAGTATTCTGTCAGGCTGGTGTCTGCCTGGCCCAAATACACTGCTTTGTTTTCAGTCTAGATCTTCTACCAGCTTTTAAATCAATCCTTTCTTTCTCTGTTGGTAATCAAACCACTGTACTTGAGCTAATAGGGCACCACAGTTCCCATCCTTGCTGGTAATCCCAAAGAACATGAGCCGGTCCTTCCTGTGCCCCCTCAGCCTGACCTGTCAGTGAGGTGGTGGCCGTGGGGTGACCGAGTGCCCACAAGGCTGGCTGGTGACTGGGTGCCATCAGTGCTTCATCCACCAGGAATGAAGGGTGCTGTGGCTACACTACACTACTGCCTTCAGCCTCCAGGACCCAGGAGAGGACGGTGGAGTCCAGCACAGTCCGGCGTGGGGAACACGTCTTCTCTTGGATGGTCACAATCAACTTGCATCTGCACAACCAATCAGCAAATTGCATAGACTTTGACTGAAGGGGGGTTAAGTGCAACCTTAAAATCTGGCCATTTCAGGAATTTCTGAAATAAATTAGAAGAGGAATTTTATTTAGTTGTTGGTTTGTTTTTTTTTTCCTAAAGGAATCTGCCCATGGCTCCAAATCACTGTTTTCCATAAAGTAAATGAATATGAAGTCTTCTCTCATCCTCTTGCCACATTTTCGGTGTCACCTTTATCCTCCAACAGTTGTATAAAATCAAATGGCAGACAAAACATCCTCTCCCCAAATCCTTCCTTTTTTTCCCCCTCAAACTTTTAGTAATTTTTTTCCCACATTTTCTTGATTTTTTTTTTGTCACTGATCAGGTTAGAAGCAGAAGCTTTCCAAAACAATGACCTGGAGCTTCAGCGATCCACATCTTGCAGATAAATAACAAGCTATATTTATGCAATAAAGCACAAGTAGTTTAATATCCATGCACTGGATTATTTGATATTAAAATCTTGGCACTTTTCAAGATAGCTGATAATTTGGAACAACAGAGACCATGGTGGGGAAGTTCTTTTTGTCAATAGTGGTTAACGACATGCACTGTTAATCCATTACCTTCACCTAAAAGGATTTTACATTTAGCCTTTTGTCCTCCCATATCCTTGAAGCCTCGAGGCTTCAAGTCTGACCCTGGGTGTTAAATGAGATGTGCAAAATTCCCTTAGGGACATGTGGAAAATGTATTTGTTCGCTAAAGGAAAGGTTCCCTTGGCTTCCATGGGCTGGGAAAATCCTTAGGGGTTTCCTGAGCAAGATGTGCTGTGTTACAGCAGGATCAGGCTGGGGTGCAGAATGCTTATTTCAAATTAACTTCCACAGAGAAATAATGAGCAGCAAGTTTATATTCTCAGTGAATCAAGAGAGCAGCTTAGGTAAAATGTGGGTTTATATGCACGGAAATAAATTATTATTTACTCACTTTTGTGCTCATGCCCTCAAATATGGAGACATTTGTAGGGAATTATTAATATTTATAGCATATTATAATAAATACCCACAAGAGCTTTGCCTGAAGACATGCTATTTTACCAGTGTAAAATCTGTTGAAGGTCAAAGGGATCTTTTATTTGTATGTGGAGGGCAGAATCAGCCTCTTTACTTGGAAATCTGTATCAACTGTGATAATTTAAAACTTTAATTAAAGACCCAGTGACAGATTATCTACAAAACGTCTTCCTGCTGCCCAGTATTCCATCAGGAATGTCTCCAGAAGCCCAGGCTGAGTAAGCACACTTGCCAGGAAATATTTCACTGTGGACATGTTAGCTGTTATCCGGCTTGTTGGGTAACAAATTCTTTTGTTGAGGATTGGTGGCAACAAACATTGAATTTAAGGCAAAACCAGACCCCAAATCAGAAATTTATAATACTTATTCTGTTCATCCCTCAAGAAAATGAAAGCACCACAGCAAAGACTATTTTTGCAGCTGTGTTAATGCATGTGTAAATGGGGAAAGTGCCTTTGAAACATTCTGCAGAGAATTTCACACTTTAGAGAGGACAAGAAGCTAACAATTCTATTGTGACACTTATGAGAATTTTAAAATTAATTTTCCTGACACAGCTGTGCCATAAAAACCCCCAGGACGATGAGTTTTTGCTAATGTCAAGATTACTTTTGGATACAATTCTGAAGGAGCCCTTTGTAAAATCAGGAGAACACGGGGTGCCAGGTGCCCTGCACTGCCCTCTCCTCGCCTCTGCTCAGCTCCAGCCTTTCCCGGGGCAACTGCGAGGCTGCCAGCTGGGAATTGCATCTGGTTTTCCTTCCACGGAGTGGCAGATGGTGGATGGATGCACAAGTGGCGTGAGGCTGAGCCCCCTGAGAGCAGTGGGCAAGGATCAGTCCTTGGAAGGACCTCCGAGGCCCCATGGGGGACTCCCTGCTGGAGCACATCTACTCACACCCCCAGGAAAGGGCATGTTGGGAGTGGGTGGTTTCAGCTCTGGCAAACAGCACAGGGGGGAAGGTGGAACACAGAGAATTTCTCCCTCTGTGCACAGCAGGAGGGGAGAGTTGCTTGGAGCTGGCAAAAAGGAGGAACCGATTTAATCTGTATCACAGATTAAACCACATTAAGAGATATGAGGGATGATACACTGGGGATCCCCCCCATCCCTGCAACCTGCAGCCTTGCCAGACCACATCCAAGGGGGAGAAGGAAATGGAAACAGCAACCTCCAAGCGATGCATAAGAAAGGTGTTAAAAACACACACATCCCACCAAGAATGGGGCTCAACCCGCAGCACTGGATGGATTTATGGGGAGGGACAAGCAGAGGTTGGGAAATGAAGAGTTCAGGGTCAGGTGAGAAGGCCCAGAGGAGGTATGAGCAACACCACATGGGCATGTCCACAGCCCTGACTACAGGAGGATGGAGAGCTCACTGGGATTTTTGTGTGGAAAGGCTTTGGCACAGGCAGAGTGGATGGATTTCCTTTTTGATCTGCAGGAAAGCCTGGGGGCAGGGGGGACAGCGTGGATGGTGGCAGTCACGGGCTTGATTTTAACAGTGACAGGCAAATTTTAGATGCTGTAGAGGAGAGAGTTAACAACAGCTGACACACTTTTGTCTGGAGAAGTCACAATGACTAGAAATAACAACTCGGGGCCATAATTCCACGGTCTGTCACTACCAGGAAACGTGAAATCTAGTGACCTTTCATCTCCACGACAGAAATGCTGCACAGCACCTGGAGCCATTGCCCTTAAAGTCCACTCTGACAAATTGGATGATAGGACATGAAGGTGAAAATGTCCTCTCCCTCCCTCATCCCCAAATTTCAGCCTCCTAGTGAACTCCTCCTGCTCCACGTGTATCGTGGAATCTCTTGCCAAGCAAAGCCAGTTTTGCGGGAGCTGCAGTGTTTAGCAAAGCACGAGACAACAACTTCATTTCTTTTGACAATAAGGAATAAAGCCACCTGTTCACACTGCTTCTAAATGATGGCAGGGAAATTGATATTGGCTTTCTATGAATCTTCAGGTCAGGCTTGTTAGAATCAACACATTTTTGCATTATCACAGAATCACTGAACAGTTTGGGTTGGAAGGGACCTTAAGAATCATCTCATTCCACCCCTGCCATGGGCAGCAACACATTCCACTGGGCCGGGTTGCTCCAAGCCTGGTCCAAGCAGGCCTTGAACACTTCCAGGGATGGGGCAGCCACAGTTTCTCTGGGCAGCCTGTTCCAGTGCTCACTGCTGCACAGCAATTTTGCCCTTGGCAAGACAGAGTTAAGACAGACATGAATCTGAACGTCTTGAGAGGAAATTATTCTCCTGGTAAGGGCAGCAACAGCTAAACAAGCATGCAAGCCATGCTGCTGTCAGAGTGCAGCAAATGATGCAGGGCTGTGTTTTTACCAAAAACGAGGATTTTCCAAAATTTTAAAGAGTAGCTTTTGAAATGATGATTTGCAATTCATGTCCTTCAGGAGATTGACTTTTCTTCCCCTCTAACAACTGCATTCCTTGAGCTCGTCTGTTTGCCAGTCTAAAATGATGACCACAGGGACTGAGATTAAGGTAAAATCTTTTCATCACACTGAAACATGGCACCGAAACTGTCTTGACCACTGTGGCAGAAAGCAAAAGGTATTGGATGGAAGGAAAAAAACAAAAAAAATTAAAAAGGGGGGGTTCAGTCATTTAAGTGGGTCTGTCAGCTTGCGTTACCTTCACGCATTTGTGAAACGGAGCTTTAATTGACTGGCTGCAGGGTGGAGCTGAAAGACAAAATTTTGGTCTCAAGATGAACAGACAGCTGAAAGCGTTGTGCTCCTCATTCATTAGGATGTGTCAGAGGGATTCAGATGGGAAGAGACACAGCAATGGCTGCTACTTTCTCCCAAGTCTCCCACACTCAGCCACATCCAAGAGCAGTAACAAAATGCTCATCCATATTCCCTGTGACAAATGAAACTATTTTGATGCCTACTAATTTTTATCACCGTGTCAATTATTTCATTATGTTTGTGATGGATACAGACAGAACTCCAAGCTTTGGCCAACCATTAGCCAGTCAGCTCCAGCTGCAGCAGGAGGAGCAGAAAGCCCAGCTGGGAGGTCTCACATCCCATCCCTACAGCCAGGCTGGGACACAAGGAGGGGTTCAGCTCCCCTGCACGGCTCCTCAGTCCCAAGGAACAGCCATGACCCACCACTGGCTGAGCTGTGCTCCAAGTCCTGTTCTCTCTGGCACCAGAGACCAGGATTCCCAAGGCTGCTTTAGAGAGGATGGTGAGAAACACATCCCTGCCTAAAACAGGTTTCAGCTGTACAGTTTTGTATCTGTATCCCCCAAAGATGAGCCAAGAGAGGAGTGAAACCATTTGGTAAAACCATGGGTTCTACTTGGCTTCTACTTGAGGGTTCCAATCTGTGTCCCAGAGTCCCTTCAGCATGTGGCTGATTTTCCTTCTTGTCCTCCTGTCCTTGTTCCCACCAGCAGGAGCTGCTTCTTTCCCTTTCCCTGGTTATTTGGGCACTCTGATTGTTTTGGAAAGGAAGATGCTGGTCATTCCTGGTCACCAAGGGTGTCAGGGACTGTGACACAGGAAGCCACCCACCCCCAAAGAGGGAGAGTCTGGTTACTGGGGAAATGGTCACAGTGGTGAAGGGTCAGTAGGGAAATCCAGAAGCTCCTGGACCTGTGTGAAGGCACCTCTGAGTCTGCACTCCTGGGAAGCCTGAGGGATGCTCACAGGTTGGATTCGTGGGACGCAAACCGGATGGGATGAGGAGCCAGTGTAAATGAGGGGGATTCAGGATGGGACCCTACACAGGATGGGAACAGAGGCCAAACACACACGAGCGGCATTTCCTGGGTGTAAATGAGTCTGAGCTGTGGGTGACGGGCACGGCCATGGCCAGTGGTACCCCCAGGTCACCAACCCAAGACATCAGTCTTGTTGAGTGCGCTGGGAAACCTCACACTCAAGCACAGCAAAGGTGGTGGACAGAACTGGGGAACAAACCTTTTCTCTGCAGTTCATCATCAACAACAACAAACCAATGAAATATCCTATGAACATTTTCTGCTTTTCAACAGCAACACAAAACTAAGTGAAAATCTTAAATATACTGTGGAGCAAAAATCACGGTTTAATAGAAACCTTAGGATTTCAATTAGTATTTTTGGAACAATTTTCCAGACATTTTTTTTAATTTTGCCAGTTCCTTTAGTAAAAATATTTTGCATTTCCAACTCTTCGCTTTTTCTCTGTCTTAAAGAGCAGAAAATGTGTTGAAAATGTTATTTCTTTGCAAACATTTTCATTTAGATCCAAAAGCAATCATTACTCTTATCCAGCAGTGGTGATGTATGTACGAGAAAATATATAGACCGTGAATTCTAAACACGAGAAGATGAATCCAAGTAGCTATTTTTTACATGTTTAGAAAGCTGTGAAGAGGTTTCTGTGCAGCTACCTTACCTTTTAATCTGTCTTCACATCTGCATTAGGAGAAAGGTGCTTTTTCAGGAGACATACATGTGTACAGGCTGCAGTACGAGACTGGGGAGACCTTCTTGGAAACAGATTTATTTTCCAAAGAGGTACTTTCAGTAATTCCAAAACCTTTCTTGAAAGTATTGATGAATCAGACTCCAATTCATGGAATCACTTCAGAGGACAGGGAGGGCCAACACTACACACACAACTTCCAGCACAAACTAATCGTGTTCTGGGCTTGGTGAGTGTCTTACTGGCCACAGGAGAAGTTTGCCATTGAATTTGGTGAGTTTTCCCTTGGTCTTGGGTAATAGGCATTGGTTTCTTAATTTAGGGACAAAGACTCTCTCTTTTCTCATAGACTTGGTTCTGTGTTAGACTAATTACGAGAAAAAAGCAAAGACATGAAACAACAATCACCAATATCAGGACTCAGTCCTATAAACCCTTAGTCAAGTCAGCCATTCCATCTGCTTCCAGGAGAAGACACAGGCCAGGAAGGGTGCCTTTAATTTTCCCAGTTGCCACCCCATAACTGAAGGCCATGCACAAGGAGAAGAAGCCTCCCCACCGCCAGCCTGTGCCAGTGGAAGCAAACCTCCTGCGGATGCATCAGTAACAACATTAGAATAAAATGTTTCCTTTACATCTCTTTGTTAATTCAACACAGTACTTTCTTACCATTTTTGCAGACAGGACAACACTGTTCTGGTTCATAGACTGGGTTGACACACTCGGGAACTGCGCAGTCTGCTACAACACAGTGAACTTCATTGCTGGGCTCGCAGCGACACCATTCGCATGGCGAGGGCTAGGAACAAATCTCAGATTAGCCCAGTGCCTCCCACAGCTCACAAGTTTGCAACATTTCCATCTTGCCATAAGATAAACACATCAGCGTTCAGTACCCCTCCACTGCCTCATTCATCATGGGTTATACAAATCAACCTCCGGGACGAAAGAGCAACATCTGAAATGGGCACCACAACATCGGAAAAAACAGCCTATGAGCCTTGTTTTCCCAGAGGGGGTGTGGGGTTCTTTAGCCTTCATGAGTCTTTAGGTCCCTTTGCCAAAAAAACTGAGCTGAAGCCACTAAGTTGTACCTCTGCTCTCCCCATGTGTGTTATCTGACACATCTGGCGCCAGAAGAAGAGCAGGATTTTGGGAAGGTGAAGAGTGTTGGTTCATCCCAGGAAGGGAGGACAGGGTGATTTTCCAGGACATACTGCTCTGCCTTGTAGACCACCACTGCCAGCACACCCCAAGCTGTTGGAAAGGTGTTGCTGGGGTGGCCTGTCCATCTGGCAGCCTCTCAGCTTTCATTCCCACTTTTCAGGGCAGAGAACAGTGTTGCTTTTGGAGGGGCAAAACCATTTTATTCTGTGTTTGTGCAGCATCTGCATCTGGAGTCTGTGAGCACTCCCAAAACATTACCATTAGTTCTGGTCCTGGCCCCTCTCCTGCTTGCTTCAACAAGGTCTGTGAGCAACAGACTCACACAAAATATGTAAATAATTAAGAGACTGAGTAATTCAGCTGAGTCAGGGAATTTTGGATTAAAGCACACAGCTAAATGGATTTGTTTCAGCTCCATGAATCCAAGCAGGAGTCTCTATCCACCCCTGAATAGCACAGAGTTGTAACAGCCTCACCCTTTGAAAAGCTGCGAAAATCTGTTGAAAAACAGAAAGGTCAGTGGTTTAAGGTTCCCAGTGACTTATGTGTGTGGAAGTGTGATGAGAGGATGACAACAGAGCTAAGAAAGGAGAACAAGAGAAGAAATGAAAGGAAAATAACTTCCTTTCAGTACCAGTAGGTTCAATATGTACCTCCCATTTTCTCAGCAATGGTAGATCCATCACCTACACTTGAATGAGTAAATGTGGGTATTGGAAAAAAATTCTGCTTTATGTTGCATTGATGGGAGTCTGCAGCAATGGGAATTCCGCAATATTAAAAAAAAAAAAAAAAAAAAAAGAAAAAGTGAGATGTAAAGAAAGAAGGATTAATCCTGATGTGTTGCAGATCGCAGTGATGGGTCACTCATTTCTACAAGACAGATGAGCCCTGGTTCTGGCAGGTAAAAAGCTTTTCAGTTCACCTCTAAGAAGCTCCATATGTCTTGAGTCTAATAATTTATTCCCAGGAAATTCATTTCTACCTTAAAATGCACTAATTAAAGCTTCCCTTGCTTTGTCTCAGCGTCTGCAGTCTATAATTCCCATCACCTTTCATTTGCTCATGGCTTTGGCAATTTAGATAAAATCAGCACTCCTTGAGCAAGGGAAGAAGCATGTGGAGGTGGAATTCCTCTCTCTAATTATCATTCCTCATTCAATCCTGCTTTGATTTCCGTCTGAAGCATCAGGAATCTAAATTCATTTGACTGACATTTCTTATTCAAGGCTATTTAATAAGAAGAAACAATACAGCAGAAAATAGACAGAACTATTTGCTGGGGGATCAATAAGAAAATTGCTGCTTTGTTTTTACTCATTTTAATCGCTAATTATACGGAGCAGCAGAAGTAGATCTTGTGATTTGTGGAGCCTTTCACTGCCGTATCCTCCAGGACGTGTACCCATCCTCACTACTACGCTGGCTGCAATGCTAAGAAATATGGGATGGGTTTCCAGGACTGCAGCCCAATCCATGGCTTAAAGACGATCAGCACAAGCAGAAGGTGCCCCTGAACAACTCTGCTCTGAGCAAATGAGACACGACATGCACATCTTTTGCTTCAGCGTTGTCAGTGTAACCTGACAGTGACACTGCAATAAACCATGATGTTCCCTGGCACGGAGAGCAGCTCTCCAAGAGGGGAGAGCTGTGCACAATTAAAGCAGGAGAGCACATCCCGGCGGGAACAAGGAATGAGCAGCCAGCAAAAGCAAAGGCTGCTTTGGCATCAATCAGACTTTTCTCTGCCACCTCCTCTTCCCCACTGTATCAAAGTCAAGCTCCTTGGTCTTGCCACCAGGATCTTCCTCTGTGTGACCATTTTTCTCACTTGCCAGTGCCCCTTACCATGGCTCTTCCCCAGCCCCTCACATCCATGGGTGACTCCAGCCCTCCTGTCCACTTAGTTTATGAATGTCTTGGCACTTTCTCCCATGGGATGTGCTTTGGGATCCAATTTGCAAAACCCTGCCCTTTCAGAAAGGACTTTTCCCCAAGCACACTGATTGAGCATCTTTAAACTGTTGTCTGCAAGCTCTGGAGCGAAGCTATTGCTTTCCCTGGAGCTATCCTCCTTGGGGATTGGCCAAAAAAGTCCTCTCTCTATGGATACAGGCAGTAGGTAGACCCAGCAGCAAAATGACAAACGGGGAACCAGTGAAATACATCCCAAAACTTTGTTTCCCGATCCCTGACCCCGTGGAAGAGGGGTGGTTTACACTTCTGTAGCCACTGAAGTTGAAACACCAGTTCCAGAAAAGAAACTCATCCCTACTGGAAAAGGAGGTTGAAAAAATACAGAGGGTTTCTGGAGTAGGAAAGAGAGAGGACACTGTCCAACACGGACAGTGCAAATGCTTTACTGCTGTCCCTTAAACTGATTATTCTGGACACATTGTTAAGATTAAAGGATCACAAAGGTGATCAGTTATTTACTCCAGCTGCCCAAGGCAGAATAATCTCTTAGAAGACTTTTAGGAAGGATTTCAAGAGACTCTGGTGAAGAAACATTCTCCTCTCCACTGCCCAAAAGGAAAGGGCTCCGTCACACACACCAGGGTGGCCAGAGGAAGGAGTCAGCACTTGTTCTGTTGTGTGGCTGGAAAACCTTAAATCTCAGGTGCTGTCAAATGGGAAACATCTGGAATCAGCAGAGTTTGTTAATGAAGGAAGAAGGAAGGAAAATTAAAACAGAGAGTAAAGAATACACATGGCTAATAAAGATTTTATGTGCATGAGCACATAATGACAAACTTGATAGATGATATAAACAAACAAATGAAAAAGGCAGCAAAAGGAACAGAATGAAAAACAAGATAGACCCTGAGCAGGGGAAATCGGGAAGCCAAACAGGATGTGGACACCACATCTCCTAATCTTCACTCCTGCACCCCTTCACACCAGTTCCCACCACTTTCATCCTCTCTTTGGAAGCAAATGCCAGGATACGTAGGAATTATGATTGCTAACAGCATCCAGCTACTCCTCTCAGTGATACGGCTCTCCCTGTCTTACAGGGTTGGGCACCAAGTGGTTCTTTAGTCAGCTACGAGGTTTCATAAACCCACAGAAATGTCGCCCCTCTGAGATGTCTGTGAGGGCTCCAGCAAGCCCTCAGGTCCTCCAGAAAGACTGGTGGACAGACAGAGAGATCACATGATCAAACAATTCTTGAGGAAAATAGCCTAAAAACGTGACCATTCACAAACTTAAGGGAGAGGTGGAGAAAACAGAAATCTGAACTCAAAACTTAATGTTTAAATCTACTTGTTAATGCTTTTTTACAGCTGAAGAGGTCTGGATCAAACATTTTTTTAGACTAAGGCAGTGGGTACAATCACACCAATAACCGACACACAAAACTTCGAGTTTTTAGTCAAGGTCTTGCAAGAAACTTCTGCAAGACTTAAACTTTACTCCACCTCAGTCATCTCATTTAGTCATAGGAATTCTCTTGTCCCAAATACTTACTGAACCTCACCTGTATTTCTCCCTTGTCCACAACTACACCACCCCAAGCCACCTCTCTGCTGCCCCAAACACATGAAAGCCTTTTCCATCACATGTACATTGCCCTGCAAAAGCTCCTCACTGAGTAGTAAGTGTTGCTCTAGAGTGGACAGAGGAAGCATACATACATATATATATGTGTGTGTGTGTGAAACATTATTGTGCATTCCTCCTCCTCCCTGCTTGCAATGAGGATTTCTCTGTCACACGTCTGCTTGTCAATCACTCTTAGCTGCTTCTACACAAATATCTCTAGAGAGGTGGGAAGGGAGTGATTTACCCAAGACAAACTAAAAACTCTGAAGGTGACATGTGACTGATACTTTTTCTTCACCTGTTTGTTCTGTCAATCAGAAGCAATTTTCCTCGACATCATTTCTGGCTCCCCTGCCACACTCACCAGGATAACTGTGGTTTCCAAGTGCACTCACGTCAGTCCTGCACATGGGCTGTCCCCCAGCCCACAAGAGATCTCAGACCAGGTTTCAAGGCTGCAGTCTCCTGTGATGAGCTGTGATTCTTCCAGCTGGCTTCACTCAGACTCAGGGTGTGAGGCTCATACCCCTCCAGGAGCTGGGAAAATGCTGCTCATTTTCCAACAGCCTTCCAAGACTGAAGTGTCATTTGGCACCTAAGTACTTTAAGAGCCAGTGGATCCTGTACCATTAACAGAGACTGGACAGAGACCTTGCTCCTTGTGACTGCCCACTCTATGAATTTGGATGCCAGCTCCTCCAGACATGTTGAGCACAGCCACTTACTTCCCAATGCTCTGGACCTCCTCTCACTTTTCAAGAAAAGACTTTCAGCTGTGTGGTGTTTTCTTTGCACCTGGGTTTCCAGCCTTGTGGAAGAAGGCTTACATCTGTGCTGGAGCCAGCACCGAGGCTGCTCAAAGCTATGGCAAATTCTTGCAACTGCCCTCCAGTCATCTGTTCTGAGATCCAGTTCTCAGGATTTGCTGGGCTGCTCTCTTCCTCCTCCTTCCTACACTCTCCAGCTAAGCCTGAAGAGGGTTTTTGTACAAGAATGTCCCATAATCCCATCCTGGAAGACTTCATCTCATTGAGACGGTGCCATGAAGTGATCACACAGGGACCGTGTCCTTGTGCTGTCTGA